GACTGTGCAGTGCTTCAGGCTGTTTTCTCTTACTTTTTCTCATAACTTCTATAATAAATGTATCTGGTTTTAACTTCCCAAAGAGCTGGGGGTGGGGCAGTGTGATCTGTGGGTGTTCACTTCTGATGGAGGGAGTTGTGTAGAATACTTTTTTCAGATGTGATTCCTTCACTTCAGAACATTGATTTCCATTTATCACTCATTTCTCCTCCTCTCAGCTCCTTTCACTAGGGTTTTCCTTCCAGTCTCCCAGTTTATCAGACTATCTCTAGCTCATGACTAAATCCTAAATCATATTTTTCCATCTTTTCTTCTTTTCCCTGTTTCACTCCTCTGTCCTTTGAATTACGGGTTCAAAGGAAATCCTGTAATCTGAAAAAGTTATTTTAACTTTTTGGAGGATCTGTCTCCTTGTTTACACACCTCATTGCAATTCCTGTCTGCCTTTTGGGCTGCCTGTAATGGATGTACCACCACATACCACTGATTCCTTGGATCCTTCAGAAGAGTTTGTTTATTTAGGCTATTTTGGTGCAGCTGAATTCATTTATCAAAGAAAAATTCTAACCCAGAGATTGACATTTGTTAAGAATTTCCTGGGCCTGACTGATAAAATGATTAAGGAAAAGAAAAGATGTTTCATAATGCTACAGAAAATGCAAATGTTAATTTCAGCAGATCTAAGATCTAAAGCTGAAATGAAATAACATTTTAAATGGCCAAATTGAATGAACTGAAAAATACACCATCCGGAAAATATTCCATCTGACTCCCAATTGACATCTTAACTAAATAATTTTAGTAAACAAATAAGAGGCAGAATTGAAGAGAAACAGATTGAAAGGGAATGAAAATATCTGTATGAGAGCTGAACCCCATACGTTTATGAGTTACTGCTGATACCAGAGAAAAGCCATAATTACTAAGCAAATCTCTCATACTCATCAAATGACTGGAAGATCTGGCAAAACAACTCCTGATATTCCTCAAGTAACTTCCACATTGCCATAGGAGGGGGAGATTTCCCAGGCTCTGGCTATTTTATGCAGTTATTTCATTGACATCCTGATTTTTCTAATGCTTTGATCAACAAACGAGTTAGCAAACATTGTGATTTCAAAATCCCTCATAGTTAAAGAAAAAAAAAAAGAAAACCCACTTTGACATCTCAGTGAAACTATCTGTGATTGCAATGAATTCTTGAAAAAACCTCCCTGTTTGTCCTCATTTCCCAGCTCCAGCAGCATGTCAGTGTGCAAGCCATGGATATCTGTGTCCCCTTACAGCAGGGTCACTCACTGCATGCTGTGGGTTTGATCATGCAGTCTGTGCTCATTAAATAATTTTATTTAATTTTCCACTAGCTAAAGCAATTTTCTGTAACTTCAAGCTTTGCTTCATTATTTGAAACATTCATTGAAAAATTAGGTGCTATTGACTACAGGCTGGCACATCACCTGTTGACATTTTTAGCTGCCTTTTTCATGAAACTGGCAACATCTTTCTCTGTTGAGGCTGAGATTCTTTACTATTTAAAAGTTTTCCTCAGAAGGGAAAAGGGACCTTTCTCTCTGTCCCTAAATTGCTCATGTCTGACCTACAATTCATATTATATAATATATATAATGTGAATTATATATCTATAATTATAATGTTATATATATAATTCATATTATATACTATATATAATATGAATTATATATAATTACAATATTATATATATTTTATATATATAAATATATATGTATATATTTTATATATATATAAATATATATGTATATATTTGTAAAAGACAATGCTTGATGAAGAGAGTGGATAATTGTGTTAGTCTGGCACGATGGTTGGTGTTATGTACCTGGTTTTTACCTGAGATAATGTATATCATTTAGGGAGTTTTCTTTCCTGAAATTAATGGTTGCAATCGAGTCACTTTATATTAATTTATTTCTAGTTCAAATGTAAACAATTTAGAGCGAAAGCAAGCTGTGTATTCAGGAGTTTGTCCTAGGATCCCAAGGGCCTGGTCTCCTGGCACTGAAATGGAAAAGTTTCTCACTGTCTTCTGTGGATGCTAAATCTGAACCAGAGCGCCTGTAGTAATTACAGGTCACATAGCTCTCAGGCAGGACTGAGAAATTCATGGGAGGATTCAAAAACAATCCTCAAAGACAGAAAACAGCCCTTGCAGGTGTTGTTGTCTGTCTCTTGTTTTCTTTGCAAGAGAAAGTGAAAGGGTGCTGTGCACCACTGACCAATGATGGTGATGTAGTGATTTACTAACAAGTAAGAGTTTCCTTTCTGTACTTTCCATGTACCAGTCTATAAAACAAACCTAAAGCAATAAACTAGAGATATTCTCCTGTTCTGACTCCATGAAAGTCTGTGTCGTCTCTACCCAGCTGTTCCTAATAGAGCGACAGTCTTCCACAGTCATGCCTACAGCATCACAGCCCAGTGGAAGCTCCCCTAAAAGCAGAGTATTTTTCTTCTGAGGAAAATTCCAGCCAGAAATGGGAACAGAGACCATCCCTGCAGCTCCATGGGCAAAGCAAGGGTCTTGGAGTGCGTGTCCCTCAGCACAAGTGCCTCCCACACCCACAGGAGATGTCACAGCCACTCCTGCCCGGAGCTGCTCCTGCTGCACTGGGGCTCATTCCTGCTGGGAATTGCAGCTGGGGCTGCTGGGGAAGCACTGGAGCTAAACAGTGCAGGGCTCCAGAGGGAGAGGGAAAGAGCACAGGAGGAATAAAGAGCAGTTCTTCAACAGTAAGGGTTTGGCTGCTCCCTTCAGCATCAACCCAGATGCAATATATTCTGCTCTCAGTACCCCAATACATCAAACTTATCAACCTTTGCTTTTACTGGAGCTCTTTGCTAGAATTATTCTCTTTAATTATATTTTTAATGCTTGATCACTGAGAAGGATGACAAGAACAAGTTCACTGTCTCTCACTGACTTCCTCAATGAAGCTGATGAAGACTTTTTTCCATTTTTATGGCTTAAAAATTACTCACTAAATCTTTATAGACTGAGAAATAGTAAAAGATCTAGCTCTCTTTTAGGCAGGAAAAAACCTCACATATATGAGAATAAATTATTGAGTTTAATACATCTCACTTCTCACTAAACAATGTTAGCACACTATTCAGAGAAATATTGGAATATAAATGAATGGAAACCCATTACAATATTACATACAATTTGTCTGATATATTTAATCATCTTTATGCCTTCCACAGGATGAAATGAAAAGTACTTTCAGGGGAGAATCTTGATGAGAGTAGTACAGGTAAGTGGTAAGTCAAAACCACGTTTCTACCCTGAGTTTTGGTCAACAGATTCAGTGCAAACACATTTCTTTAAATTTATCCTATGCACAGCAAAGAGATTTTTCTAAATAAGATATTAAGGTGACAGTGTACCAAGGAAGGGGTGATTTTTTTTGTAGGGCACCTTAGAATGTTGACTGCAATACGCTTAGCTAGATCATAGTTAACATATTCACAAAAGATTTATAATTTATATCTGGATTTCGTGAACATCCCTCCATTTTAGGTGCAAAGACAAAATAATTATATTTTCCAGTGCAATACCTGCTGAAGTAGCCATAGCTTCTGAGATTATTAATATATGTGGTCTCATTTTGATGTTTATTAGCTAATTTTTAGGTACTTTTACAGTACTTTATGTTTTCTGAAAGGCTTTTTTCAACAGATTTTGGTAAACAAGATAAAGTAAAAACTGCCTCCTTGCTTTTTCAGGCACTTTCAACTTTAGTGAGAACCAGAAAAGTGCCACAGTGAATTTCTACACACTCCTTCACTGATGATACCATTCCTCCCTCGTCCTGAGAGAGCATGAGCATTTACACATTCACATCCAACTGCACACTGACTATGTTTTGGATTTGGGTTTGGTTTTTTCCTTCTTTGGAAAGGAAAGGAGGCAGGGAATTCTCCTCTGCTCATCCCCTGCCAGACAAACTTTTACTGGTGAAAACCCCTGAGCAAGGAGAGGAAGGTGATTTCCAGATCCCTGGTGGAAAGGTTTTTTTGAGAGCAGAAAGTAGCTCAGCCAGGGGACTGAAGGCAAGGAGCAGATGTTTCTAAGTAACATCTCGAAGTAAGAAATCTTTCTAAGTAACGTAAGTTACTTTCTAAGTAACAATATTTCTCAGTAACAATCTTCTAAGTTACATTTGGGGAGGCCAGAGGAGAAGATGTCTGGAAGTTGCTTCGTACATTAGGATCACTGCATTAAAAAAATTCATTAAAAGTCTTTGAAGCAGGGAACAAAACTCACCTTATTATATACATAATTATATATATAATTATATATATAGGTACTATATATAGCACCTTATTCTCCAGATGACAGGCAAATGGTTACTGGACTGACAGAAAAGTATTTACCCCTGGAAAAAAAAAAAGAAAAAAAAAAAAAGAAAAAAGAGAAATCTCTGCCAGAGAATCAGAGTTCCAGGTATGTCAACACCTCAGAATAAAGATAGAAATAAACTGGAAATAATTGATTTTACCTAATAAAATCCATGGTCTATTCATTCTCTACCATTCTTTAGAGGTTATATTTAGAATATTTAGACAAATATTCCTGATAAAAAATCAGCAATATTACTGTGGTCTGCAGGAAAATGTTTCCAAAATGTTCTGAAGGAAATCATTGAAATAAAACTTTATACAACCAAAACAAATATGTTTGAACATTTCAAAAAGAATCATATATTCCGGAGGCTTGATTTATTTCCCTAAATTTTGTCAACAAAGGCCTGAACATTGAGCTTGTGTAGCACCTGCAGGTTAAGCAGGACTTGCACTGCCATCAGCACCAGCACAAAATATCTAGAATGAGACAGCTGAACTGAGCCCTTTGTCTTCTCCCATTTGAAGATGAAAACAACAACTGAAAAATCTCAAAATATCTTAGAAAATCAACATTCAAAATTTTAACTCAGCAGTAGAAAATAAGGAATTTTCATTGGTAAGGTGACTGATTTTTTATTGTAGTCAGCTGAGTTCCACAATATTGAGAGATATATATTAATCACAACCATATTATTTGATTAAGATATTTGGACAGCCAGGACCAGGCCAAATACATAGTTTTACAGCAGGAAATTCTCTCTTATTGTCAAACACTCTATAAAGACATTGCATGACTACATCCACATCTACTTGTCTACCATGCTTTTCTTCCTCCTGCAGAAATAAACTGCCTGGATTATTTCAAAGAAATCTTTCTTCTTAGTGACTCCAAGCTAAGAACATATTTTTCAGTAAATGCTGCTATCAAGGAGTTTATTATTGATTGCATGGGACATTAAAATGTCAATACTTAAATGTTGCAAGAACAGGAATTTTGAATTAAAATGGCTCATAAACCATGCTGCTATCTTCAAAACATTTTCCAATTATTTTCCAACAAAATGAGAGGAGTTATTGTTTTATTGTTTCATCCTTCATTTTTAACATGAATGCAGGAGATCCATAAAAAGATTACCCAAAGAAACAGCAGAGTTTCAGGAAAAATTTTATATGTGCTTATTTATAGCTATTTCCAGTTCTGAGATTCATTCTTTTTGATAACTCACAGATTCATGTTGATGAGTGTAGGACTCCTGTAAAACACTGATTCTATTTACTCACATTAGAATTGCATTGCTTTCTTTGCTGGTCAATATCCATTCCCCTGGAACTTCAGATTTTATTATTTGATTAATCCTCCAAGCACCTGAATGTTTTCAAACCCAGGAGTATTGAAAACTCATAAAACAAATGTTTGCTTCACCTTATGTTATTAGGATCAAATACTGAAGATACTTGAATACCATTCTATTCTCTTCAAGGTATAGAAGAAAATCATAAAATATCATAAAATAAAGTACAGCCTGCTGATATTTTCACTGGTTTGTTATTCAGTGTCTTCCCTGTGCCTTTTGAAATATGACAGAATGGGACACAGCTGAAACTCACTATCAGCTTCTTGAGGCATCCATCCATAGTCATACACTTAACTGGCTTGTCATGACTATTCTAAAATATTTCTCTTTATTCCTTTTAATGGTAGATATATATCTTGCCTTACTGGTCACCAATGAGAAGCACTTGAAATAAGCTAATTTAGGGCAGAATGTCAAGAATATTGGAATAAACCTGCAGTAAAAGTACCTGTTAGAAATAAAGAGGAGGTATGGCAACAAAAATGACAATCTGACTCTTGCTTTTAACAGTGAATGCAAAATATGGGTAAGGGTTCTTCATTTCAATGGCAATCAATTCATAAATCCATAGACACAAATCATTAGCATTTGCAGACAAACACTGCCTCTTTTCCAGGAGCTGAGAACCTCAAGTGCAATGAATGACGCTTTTCACATTCCAAATCAATAGATTATTTATGTTTGTTTTGTATTCGCTTCCAAAATCAATTAGGACTTCAATACCATAATATTATTACAAGGGTGCATGCTCAGTCACACAATCTGATACTTCACTCTGCTCTTGAAATAGCTGAAGTCTCAAATCTAAAAGAGGAGGTAATAAACAACATAGATTTTATCAGTGATGGAATGGTCACAAGACTGTCTAGAGGAAGTCACAGCAGAGGCCTTTTTTTTCCTTATACATATGGACTATTAAATATTCTTAGCAATTACTGTCTGTTATTGGAAAGCCTGAATTAAAAATATCTTTATAGATAAAGATATTTATCTATAATTAGCATTAGGGGATGATCTCCAACATCAGACAAGTCAGTGCACACCCCTGTTCTCTTCTGGGAAGTACAAAATGAACTAAAACCAGCTGACTTTCACACTCCTCTGTCTCTTTAGGGCTCTCCATGTGTCTTTTAAAATATGATTCTCACATTCAACTAAAATTCAGTGGTATTTAGGTTTTGCATTTGCAAATACAGTCTCCACTACCTATCTCCAGAATTGCACTGGGTAATGTTTTCTGCTTTGTCATTCAGCCATGAATTCTGCTTAGAGAGCAAAATCTTCCACCTTCACCCTCCAAAGAAGAAAAAGAGACCTAGTCTGGGTCTGCCAGCATGCCACAATATTCTGGGGGCTCTGCTGCTGCTTTGGGATCAGGAAACTGCCCAGGCACGCTCTTCAGCTCATCTGGGGTGAAGCAGGGCCCCAGGCACTGCTTTGCCCCCTGGCTTGGAAGGGGCATGTGGTGTGTCTGTGCACACCTGGGGGAGCAGGATTTGGGCAGCAGCAGAGGCACCTCAGACAGTGCAGCAGAATGTACCAGGGCATCATCAGCAGAAAACCAGCATGGGCATCACATCGACCACTTTGTCACTATGTGGAGCTCACAAAGGGCTTTTCTCTCCAGTCATTTGCTCCAGAATAGATCAGGATGAATCCTGTTGAACCTTGTCAGTTTAGGCTAATATTAACCTGAAACAAATGCCTCCTTACATGTACTGAGAGACAGGGATTTGTTGTTGTAATTACATTTTTTAAAAGACACGAGTTGCATAACTCTCATAATCATTTCCTCTGCCTGTAATGGCTGTATTCTGCAGTTCAAGAAGATTCCTAATTAATATTAATTCCCACCCTGTGGACACTGTGTTTTGGCAAGTAATTAGGTCTGAAGGGATGGCCAAACACACTGATCTTCAAATTTTGAACAATTTAATTACAGGCTTGTTTTCTGCGTGGAGCTGCATAAGACATGAGTTTAGTAGAGAGCATCAGTGTGGTCCTGCTCCAGAGACTGCTCTGGGCCAGAGCAGAGAGTGCTCTGCAGGAGGGGAGCAGGGCAGGCTGATAAGGCCTTTTGCCCAAAACCACTGGATTCCAATGGAAGCTATCAGCTCACGTGAGTGACTACCTGGGCACTGCTCGGTCAGACTGCTGAGTTTGCTGCAAACGCCTTCCTGAGAGAAGCTAACAAGTGAAAACAGAAAGTAGCCACTCAAAAATAGGAATGCATTAAATTTTAAAGGGGTTCAACAACAAAGCAGCTGCCTTTGTCATGGATTTGCAGAATAATTTTGTGTGACTCTGTGCATGAGGAATTATCCTCTTTACTCTTTAAAAAATTAATTCCTTTCTTAGATAATTTTAATATTTTTCTTGGCATTCTTTACTCATCAAGCTAATGCTGAGGCCACTTGCAAGCACAAGTTACTTTTCTAAACAAGGAGGAAACCTCCCCTGTTCCAACCTACCACTCATTAGCAGTTTCCTTGATGCCAGATAATGGGATCTTCACTGATAGGGGGAGTTCTGAACCCTCCACCCACTCTCTTTAACACATTCTAAAGAAATCGTGAAAATTAACACCAGTAAAATCATGTTACACATCTCACTCAAATTTTGAGAGATGAAAGAGAATCCAAATTGCTTCTGCCCAGTCAGAGGTGCCAAAAAAAGTGCTCCAAGTATGAGAACAGAATTGCTAATTTTTCAATGACATAAGTGATAAAGAGTGATAATAGAGGCAGATAATTAAAAGTGTAATTATTAGTAAAAAATGCTTTATAAATGATTAAATGTGTTTGCACAGGTGCTTCAGAAAAGCCTTACTTAAACTCTTTACTTTTAAGCTGAGTGTAATTGTGGTGGACTTTAGCCAAGATTTGCACCTGCTGGAACTGCTAAATATAAACAACATGAATTAGAATATCTGACTGGGATCATAATAATTAAAGATCAAGAGAGGAAAAATAATAAAGTAATATTCCTATGATGCATTGGTATTTCCTCACAGGATACTACTACCTGCCCAGTCAAGGATGCTCACATACTTCGATAGCAAAGTCAGAGTTACCTGAAACATGCATCTATCAGAAGTAGAACATAAATAAGGCACTTTTAATATTGTGCTAAACTGGCTGCCATTTCCAATAGCTGCAGTAACTTAAATGATCGAGGACTGGTAGCAGTTACCAGAGGTTTCTGGGTGATTATGGTCTTCTTATTGCTAAACAATTATTTCAATGAGTTATACCTTTGAAACCTCCTGAACTTTCTGTGAACTTGAAATCAACATTTGCTTTACATGACAGAAAAATAGCAGGCTACAGTATCGCTGCCAGTCCTGCTGTGCATCGTTTTTGAATTAAACTGTTCTTATTTGGAAAAACCCATGTTCACCACATTCAGTAGCTAATTTGTTCCTAAAGATACACTGCAATTTTTTGACATAATACCCTTGATGATTTCCATTAGCCTAGATAACATGAAGCATAAACTACCGCACATTTAAGATGCTGAAAAAAAATATAAGACCAGAAAAAACACAGCACATGATTCCATACTCCCCAGATGTTTTGTGTAACAAAAAAGGTATGAAAAGAGTGGTTTCATCCCTCCTTCCTCTCCTGTCTCTCTCCGTTCCTCTCTCCATTTCTTTTTGCTTCAGTTTTCTTACTGGCAAACATGAGTAAGAATGAGTTACAGGAATTAAGAATTAATTTTATGACACTTTTCTACTTTTTAAGGTGATTCTAATGAGTCATTTTCACTTAGGAACTTTGCTGAATCTTAGTTATATATTGATATTTACTGATTTGCCATTTCTAAATATAAGGCCCCATTCATCAAAACACAGAAGGAGATGCATAATTATAATTAAACAGTGGAATTGAAATTCAAAGCAGACAGTAAAATGTCAAAGGTATCTTTTTGACTTGTGTTCTCCAGTGGATTGCACAAACTGTACTGAGAGATAGTGCAAAAGCAGAGAGGTAATGCAATCTAGAAGTTACTGCTCCCAACCCATTCCAAATTTTGGGCTCCTTTATGGACTATGCAATTGTTATAGGAATGGAAATAGTCTCGAGTCATAAAAGAAGAGCAATTACAACACAGACAGAGTGTCAGCATACTTGGCAATATTTAAAGTGCATGTGTGAAAATTACTACCGTTTAATATCAAGCTGGAATAAATGAATATTTTAAGGAAAAGAGTAACATTGTTTACAAGGCTTTTACTAGTCCTTACTAGCAAGGTGACATCAGTGATAGGTCGACTTGGCAGATACAGATACAGCGTGCAAATGCAGTCAAGGCTCACTTGACAGTAGTGAAATCTTTTTGATTGAATGGTCCTTTTTTGGAAGGACACTTTTCCCTCAAAATTAGTGAAGAAGTGCTGGATTTCCTCTGATAGTATTACTAGAAATCATGTACCTCTTTCCTGTATATCATGAAATTTGCAGACACTGCGTGCGTGCAAATATCAATTATACACAACCAACATGAAAATGAAAAATCAGAAAAATATTAATAGCTTTAAAACGAAGGATGAATAACAATGAAAGACTTTCAATTGTAACATTCAATTAAGTTTTCTGATATGGCAGAAACTGTATCTGACATTATGCAAAAAGGATGGGAAGCCAATTGTACATTTTATATTAATACAGCAGAGATTGTTCTTTATTGAAACCAAGAAAGAAGAGTGGAAGAGAAATACCACTTGGGAGTCTGCTACAGAAAAAAAGGCAGGATAGGTTAAACCTACTGAATACATTAAGGCCAGAAAGGTAAACAAAGAAAAAAGAAAATATATGAAGAAAGATAAAGCAGTAAAAGATCGTCCAAAGAAAGATAAAAGAGGCTCTGTTGATAGACACTGAAAGCAGAAACAGCAGCACTGAAGGAAGACATGAGAACATTTTATCAAACTGTTTAAAAATACGAGAAGCACTGTCTGGAAAAAATGCATCTCACCTTATTTTAAAGACAGACAGAACACCTCCCAAACACTGCAGAAAAAAACCCCACCTTATTTTTGCAATGAAAGAAGATATGTCTGTTTTGTAGCAGCCAAATCTTCATGAGCTTAAAGTAGTTGCTGAAAGATGAAGAAAGTTAAATTGACACATGCAATTCAAATCACAGATATGAGGAAATTAAATGGACAGCATGATATTTGGAGATATCCCTATGGTTCAATGGGAAGCAGAAATAAAACAATCTGCTCTTGTTTCCATGGAAAGTCTTCAGTGCAGTCAACTCTGCTGTTTTGAAGTTGCCACTCAAACCAGACACAGGAAACATGGCAAACATTTTCTCTAATTGATCCTGTGCAGACAAAACCTTCCTTCTGCCAAGCAACAAAGAATAGAGCACAAGAAGGTAGATGCCTCTTCTGTGCTGTGTGGGACTTGATTTGGTGATGGATTATCATGGCAAGTAACACACCCCTCTGGAATCTCTTGGAGGGTGATTCTGTGAAAGAATTAAACAGAAATGTGCTATGAAGTAGATGCAGCTGGAAGAGGCTGAACCTTGCTGACAAAGACTGCACCTTCCTCTCCCCCAGCCTCCCTCACCACCCTCACGCCTCCATTGGAATGGTTTCAGTTACTGGATCATTACTGTGGAAATGGTTATTTCAGTATAAATGCAGACAGAGGAGGTGGAAGGGTTTGCAGCCAAAATCTGTCTCGTTGTGAAAGGGCTGTCTTACACTTATGCCAAAGAGGCCTGACAATTAATAAATTAGGGATAGGCAATGCCACAGATGATAAATTATCTACACATAATTCTCTCTGCTTAAAAGCTGAAGCTGTTACAAACTTGTATAACCCCATTCAAAGTGCAAAATAAATGCATTCTTTATATAAGTTTAAAACAACAAACTATTCCCCATACATATTACTCTGTAGAAGAATTTATTAATTAAAAACCCACTGAAATCAAGTGCAAGAGTCCTCAAATACAGTGCAGAGTCCTAGAAAAATAATGCGCTCATCCTGTGCAAATGACACAGCTACCAGAACAGGTGTTTGTGAAAGCTATTTAAAGTATTGACTTAATAAATTAGAAATGAAGAAGCATCAAAATGAGTACAGATAATGGAAATGGTACAAACAGAATTAAGGAAGAGGCATGGATCTATTTCTCCTGGTTCTCCAATAACAGGAAGAATCAAACCAAAACCTCTGTGGAAACCCCAGGTTTGGCTCCAAAGGGCTGAACCTGTGGCACTCTGCAGCACAGCCATGGCTGGTGGGATCCTGTTATGAGAGCAAAAGAGACTTTCAGAAACCAGCCAGACAGGATATGGCTGATTCACAAGATTTGGGTTCTGCTTTATGGTCTCACCAGCACAGCGACAACGCTCACTGGGAGCATGAAAAAGGGTTACAAACATATGACAGAAGAAAAACTGCACGAGGGAGCTGAACCAACTTCTTCATTCTAGTTTAGCTCAAGCACAATAGCTACTTCAAATGTTTAGTAACACTTTTTAAAGATTACCAAATTAACATTTAGGTTAATTTAAGTTAATTTAAGTGTTTGTTCCAGATTGTTATTTCCAGATCAATGAAAAAAATAAAAAATAATCTGGTTTTGACTTAGTCTTTATCCCTAAATTGTCAGTGAAATATTCTTTTCATACAGAAGAATGAGTTTCAATCAGACTCACCTAAATTAAACTTTTTTCCTTCTCTGGATATTGTACTACAAAAACTAAAAACTGAAAAAGTTATTCATGTCCGAAGATGCTTCAAGGAAAAAGATTGATTCTGAAATCTACTTAGATTTCCATATTTCTCATTAAAAATATCTAGTAATCACAAACAAAAATCCCTGTAGTATCATTTTCACAAACTTTCATTCTCATTTTATGGAAGGCTTAAAATAAATTAATTTAAAATTACTTTCTGATTAATTTTTTGGGGGAGGGCAGTTAACAAAGAAAGAAAAAAACTGGTCCAAATTACATTTTCAAAGAAAACATCAGTTGATGCCTAGATTTACAGAAGAGTTCATTATTCATATGTCAAAGAAAAAATAATCCAGTGCTGTCACAAGCATCAAAGACTCTAAGGTTTTTGAAAATTCAGCTCCATCTGTGGATATTAGAACTTTATCTAATGTTCTATCTATGTGTTTATTAGAACTTTTTTTTTTTCAATTCTTTGAGGAATTTACAGGTTAATGTCCATCTGGCATTACAGAATTTCATAATCTTTCCCATGACAGGCATATTAAGGTTTTGAAGGCCCTGAACTCCCTTTCAAAGTAACTTCTGTTTTCCTTTTTTTTACTTCCTTTCTTTCAAAATCCAGGCCAGTCTACTTATTCTTCAACTCTTAATCCATTTCTCTGTCACATTCTTTGTACTACAGGTTATCTCTTCAACTACTCACAGAGATTTCAGCTAACTTATTCTATTTGTTCATGACATCTTGAGCAGATTTATAACACAGATTTTGTCTCCAAAAGTATATATATGGACAGAATGTTGACAGCAGTCAGTTTCTTGTACAGTTGATGAGACTTTAAAATTTTGTCTATTGATGTAAAGCTTAGTTAGAGAGATTAGAGAACACTGGTAGATGTTTAGTAATTCTGGATGTTATCCTTTGTTTATCTGAGACACATTTTCAGCATCACAAGGGGACAGAAAGGAACCCAGTTCCCACTGAATATCACCCCATTTATGAAGAAAGCTGAGATATTTCCTCTATACATGACAACATTGTTCTTCTGTGGATGGAGGAATTATTCTATAAAAAAATGCACAGAAGAGAATTTCATAGCATGGTTAAAATTTTGATGTCTTAAAGATATAAAGTATAATGAGAGAGGTTTTCAGGGGACAGTATTTTCCACTAACCCATCTGATACATTAGGGAGAAAAAAATAACAAGCTTTCAGGCCCACAGATCCTAAACAGAAGAGGCAAAACATGCTTGGAAGTGCAAACCAGCAGTGACACCTTTTCCTCATAAATCTCTGTGTATGCAAGCACAGTGCCCCTGTGACAGCATTATTAAGGTCAAATATTTTTAAATGACCTAAGAGGAGTCTACAGGTTTGGGTGTCAGCAGGAATCTTCCTACCAACTTTAGTGGCTTTGGATGTCACCTTTGCTAACTGTCCCTGAATTTGGGCCTGAGTTGAGGGCAGCAGTGGCCACTTTCCCAGTGACAACTTTAGGATTTTAGGACTTAAAATCAGGTGCAGATCGTGGCTCTTTTCTGCCAGTGAGCTCCAGTACCTCAAACTAAAATAAAAGTCAGTCCAGCTTGAGAGTCCAAGCAAAAACCAATAAAAATTGGACACAAAAACCAAAAAGAAGTAGTCCTGCCCCTGTGGAATCTTCTCAGCCTGCTGTGGTAGGAGATTTGTAAATAGATCCTGGATAAGAAATGCAGAGCAGCAGTGACAGTGTACAGATGGATGGGTATGGCACAATTTCTACTGGATTACCTCAGGAAGAGTGGGTTTGGATCAGTTTAAGCCAAGTCCAGTTTAATGTCTAGAAGTGCCTCATCCAGCCTCTAAACTGCACTTTTTTTTATGAGAGCCTGTTAACAGCTACCAGGTATAAACTCAAATAAAGGCCAATGGTTACAAGCCAATGGTAACTATAGGGAGGCCAGATGTGAGAATGGATGTAAAAGTACAGGGGGCTGGACGGAAAAAAGGCAGAAAGGTATCTACATAATTTGCCAAGTTTCTATGAAAGTAAAACCACCCCATTTTTAATTCAAAAGCACAACTACACCTGATTTATTCACTGTTGTTCACCTTGCTCCTACCTTTGCTGCTCAGCAGACTAAGCAGATTTTCATGAGACTAGATTCCTTGTGTCTATTTTCCCACGCTTCATTCACATCTATATACATGTGCTGGAGTGGCATATGGCTCCTAGGCAAAGTGGGTATCAGTTACACATAGAACCCAAATGTTGTTTCCCTGGCTTTGGTGGAGTTATACACTGAATTTTTTCAGCAGCACAGCACAGTTCTAGTGCTAAAGAAACCACAACAACACATGCATATTTTGCTCCCAGTTTATTCTTTTTCTATATCCCAGTTGGCATTTTTCTCATTAGAAATGCCAAATAATTGTTCAGTCATTTGCTTGTATCATTCCTTTTGTTATGAAACTTCTGTATTGACTTATGAGAAAAGTTTTGAAAAGCTTCAGTTTTTCTTATCTGGAGTTCCAAATCATTAGCTGAAAGTTTACTTTGAGTTCCAGTTCACATAACTTCAAGATATCCTTGCTCATGACTTTGAAATTACCTTAGTAATTTAAATTAATATCTTGAGGTTTTATATCTCCCTTTTTTGACAGATCCTGAATCCAAAACGTTTATGTGACTTTGTAGCTTGTATTTACTAAATTTTGAACCCATATTGAGCCAGTTAAATCACACATTCTTTCTCCCTAATCCAAGTCACATCAAAGCTTAGACTTTAAATTCCTGCACCTTGCCCTCTCAGATCCTAGATACCATTATGAAACTTCCAAATATGAGGAACTGACCACAAATATTAGAAACCTGCTCCAGAGATTATTCAGGTTTCATGTCAAAAACATATCATTTGCTTCCTGTTTGAACTTTAAAAACCTCAGCTTCCATTCATTTAATCTTCTTGGGGCTTTGCAAGCTTTTTTAGAGAGTCCTCCTTACCTCCAACTTATTTAAGTTGCTGTCTGTTAAGGAGGACATGAGAGGGCATCTGATTTCAATTTCATTTTGTTCCATATGCTACACTTCGTTAATGTGATTATTGCTTCCTCGTTTCAATAGTATTTAATTAGAATTTGTTACCTGACAGAGTTTTAGTTTCAACATCATGTCCTTTCTCTTTTTATACGTTTGCAAACAACACTTCAGGTGAAAAAAAACCCAACCAAACAACCCAAAACTTTCAGAGTAAACTGCTTACAGAATAGGATAACGGGATCACAATATCCGGAGGAATTTTCCTTCCTATCAGAGCTCAGCATATTCACTTTCAAGCCTTCATAGTCCAATCTAAGAAGTTATGCAGAGAGAACAGCGGAGCCAGCGCTGGTTGCAGCACAAAGGTAACAGGAAACAGAATGTGCCTTCTGCCTCCCTAAAGCCCGGGCTATTCGCTTGCAACTTGCGGATCGTAACAACCATTTCATTCTTTTAAAAGTTTTACATTTAAAGAGATGCTGCCTTGGATGTACGTGCCTTCGCTAGGCACAGGTTCGCACTGTAAGGAATATGATCCGGGCACGATGAGTGAACGCGTCCCAGACTGCGGCTCCCTTGGGGACACCGCGTTTCTGTGTCCGGCGGGGCACAGGAGAGCGGCGCGGGGCAGCGGCTCCGCCGGGGGATGCGGGGCTCGGGCAGGGGCTGAGGCTGAGCCGGGCGGGCAGCTCCGGCCCCGAGCCCGATCCCGTTCCATCCCTGAGCCCGATCCCGTTCCATCCCTCAGCCCGATCCCGTTCCATCCCCGAGCCCGATCCCGTTCCATCCCTCAGCCCGATCCCGTTCCATCCCTGAGCCT